TACACAAATAGAACTAAAAAAAGCTCTTTAATTCCAAATTGTGTACATACTTACTTTAATGTACGATATTAAAATAGACCTAAAGGGCTATTCTTTTCTTTACTGAAAATCAAACATTAATATGTACCATTCCAGAAAAAGAAATCTCCTAAGTTTTAAAACTAAGCAGCATTCAATGTAAAGACTGTCCCGATTTTCATAACAAAATACTTTATAGCTACATATTACAAATATTAAGGTTAAAATAAGTTTGATACTTGGATATTTTTATGACATAAACATTTTCCCAAAAAAGAAAAGTTTACACAAAGAAACTGTATCGACAAAATTATTCCAATAATTTCTATTCCATCCCAAACTGTATCCACAAATAAGGAGTGGCACATCGCAGTACGTAAGTGTTTAAACTACTTAATCCATAGTAAGTGGAGCAATCTAATAAGAAAACAATCAAGACAATCACAAAAGACAATCATAAAATTCTCAGTTTCCAGAATAATCTCTTGTGATGTGTCCAAAATCTATAAACTTAAGATAAACAGAAAATTGCAAACTAGTAAAAACTACCTACTACCTAGAAAATGGTCAAAAATAATCTGTACCAAGATAAATTTAATATAATTAAGACACAGTATAAAAATATATACATTGTTAAACTACCCTGAAGTGTGATATTCTGCAGGAGTGAAAAATAATCTGTTCAATTTGTAATTACAACAGCTATTATGAAAAAGAAAAAGTTCCAACTTCTAAGGAAAAATGGTATAAAACAAAAATAACAACTTATAAATAGATGAAGTGTTCACTTATGTCCTTGAAACTCTTAAAAATGTAGTCACATGTTATGTCATAAAATCATGATCAAATTGAAGAAGGCTGATAAAGAAAAATAACCAGATATGGTTTCCCTCACCCTTTGTCTATTTAAAAAAAAAAAAAATTATTTAACAAACAAGACACTTAAACTATTTCATACTTCAAAGCCCATGCTAAGTTGCACTGGGATAGGTATAATAGGAATATTAGGGAAAAATGAGAGGTGGCATCTTAAAACAAACCAAGAGAATCTACTTTAGTCTTGAATTATTCTTGGACAAGCTGACCACTTACCATTTGATTCCTCCCTTTAAACAGTGCAAGAAAGGAATGTACATTAGAAAGCCTAATTTCAAAGCTTTTGAAAAACAAAAACAAACATTAAAATTATTAACAAATTTTCTAAAGACCATTTTCAAAGCAAATGAAGAATAACTGATAAACAAGGGTCTCCGTGATTTTATTAGCACAATATAGTCAAGATCTGTAAAGAGCCTTTGTTAGTATTTTTTTAATATAAACTTGATTCATTTGTATTAATTAAGTATTCTGAATGTAGAAACCAAATAAAACTAACACCAAAAGAATGAAATACTTGTGCCAAGTCATTAATCTTTAAAAAAAAAAAAGAAAAAATCTAAAAAGAAGACAGTATTTCTCCACTAAATTTTTTAATCCATTGTTATACAAATTATCATAGCTCACTTATATAGTATTTTAAACACACATTCAGAAAATTTAGAAACTATGTGACTTAATCTAATGTAAGCACTAACAAAAAAAACACGAATATGCCAGCTTATAGTTCAACAAACATTTTTAATAAAAAGCCAGAGATCATTATTTTAAATTGTCAGCCCCCAATAATCTAATATTCTTCTTCATATCTTTCTCATCAACCTTTTAAAAATATAAACAATACAAAAACAGGGTAAGCCATGAGGCCTGGCTATTGTTTATAGACCCTTGCTCTAGCCACATTAATTTTACTATGATGCTTCACTATGTAACATGTATTTTAAGTAACAACTAGAAAACGAAGTATCTGAAGTATATAATAATCTAATTCTAAGGGCATGATCTTAGAAAATAAATGTTTTTGGAATGTCAATAAATTCACCATTGTTTTAAATATCTACTGTCAATTCACTGGATTGTAAAAGTTTCCCCACTATTAAAATGAGTTTTATATACACAGATGCTGTTAAATTAAAATAAGAAGTTGTACTGATTTTATTTAAAATTCTAGCAATGTTTCCAGGTATTATTTTTCAATGTTGTCAGGTGTCATGGAGTCGGATTCAACTCATAGCAGATCATATATACAACAGTAGGAGTGCTGGTGGTATAGTGCCTAAGGCATTTGACTGCTAACCAGAAAGCTGGTAGTTCAAACCCACCAGCCACTCCTCGGAAGGAAGACTGGGCGATCTACTTCTGTCGTAATACCACCTCAGAAACCCAAGGAGGGGTCGCTATGAGTCGGATGCAACTCAAGGGCAGTGAGCTTGGTTTTTGGTTTGGTATATACAACAGAACAAAATACTTCTTGGTCCTGTGAAACTAGCTGTCCTTAGTAAATCACAGAATGCCATTAAACATACAAAAAACACTGGTAATAAGTTTAAAAATTTGTGAAATGATTTCAAAGAACAGTCTGCCATCAAGTTTATATAGCCAACTCAATCAAGTTTAACAGTAGAATACACTTAACCATTCATTCACTTCAAGTCATATATCCACTTCAAATATGTAAAATTAATACAAGAAAAACGCTGAAAAAGCTAATTCCACTGATTTTGCTACATACAAGCACTTAAGTACAAGAAATTTTTCAGGTAAATAAAGAAACTAGGTACAATCTTCTAGTCCCTCAATGGAAGAAAAGTTTTCCCTAAGAAACTTATCACATATGGCTTACATCTGACTCTATCTGGTAATAAAAATACCAGTTACTATTTTTCAAAATATGGGCATGAAAACATTTTATTATTTTCACTTCCTTTAAAAATCATGTGAAATAAAATTAAAAATAGGCATCTTACTTTGATGTCAAGGGGTTTCACTTAACCACAAGCCCAAAATTAACAAAAGACTGAGCCAAAAAATAAACTGTCAAAACTATTACCATGTTGTTTTCTAACCCCTCCAGGAAAGGCTAACCTACTATGCAGTGTCCCCTCCCCAACACACACACACAGTAAAAAGCGTTAAGAAGAAAACTGATGTCCAGTTTAACACATAATGAAATCATCGCAAACTCCTTTGGGATAGATATTTGTTAACCATAAAGTAGCTCACAATTTATCCAGTTCAAAAAAAAAAAAAAAAAAAGGTAACTTTAGGTAATTTCCTTTGCTTCCTGAGATGATGGACCTTATAATCATTTCAAAAACCTGACTGCACCTAAAGATTTCTGCAAATGAATTGATAGGGGCCCAGGTCAGAGATGAACTAACCTGATACCAGCTGATCTCAGTATTCGGTCAACCAACTACATTAAGATTACCCAATGACTGATTTTCTGTACATCTCCCTTCTGTTTACAAGCTTCAGTACAAAGATAAATATTAATATATTTGCTTTGTGTATGTATATATGTATGTGATATATTTGGTTTCTGTATGTATGTGTGTATGTGTATAGCTACTCTGATATATATAGTTTCCCTATATGCTTGTAGAAAAACAGCTCAAATAAATCCTGTTTTAATTTCTTTATGCTTTCATTTTTTAATTATCATAATAAAATATCCTCACATTGATAATTCCAACAAAGACTTATGTTCAAATGTAACAACCAGACAATTTAATACCACAGTTTAAAATATGAGACTAAGACGAAGCAAGTACTATTTAGCCAAAGTAGAAATGAGAATTCTAAAATGATACTAATAACTCAACAAAAATTTACAATGCTTAAAACACCAACAAATTTGATAATGGAATTTATAAAAAGGAATTAGATGTCAAATGTAACATAATATTTTTTCTAATGTAATTTTAATGCCACATAATTGTTATACAAAGGATCGTTACTTGATGTAAGATATGATAAAAATTTCTTGTGGGTAAGCAACTTAGGACTTATTTTACACTATGTGTGCGTAATCTTTTAATTTAAAAAGTTTTAAAATTTTCCCAGGGACAAAGAAGATCAGGAAAAAAGGTACCAATGATCTGAATAAATGTTTTTAGCCTCAGAAAACCGGAGCAACCTTTTTGAAAAAGTTAATGGCTTCTCAACGAGAGAAAAATATTTTTCAGAGTAAGTTGTTAAACTAGTATTCTCCAAAATGAACAATGAGACATTTTTTAAGTTATCGAAAAGCACTTAAAAATTTTAATATATTTGAAATACTATTGTTTGGCCCACCATCTGCCCAAAAAATAAAAACTTGAATCAGATCAAGCCTTTAGCTTTAACTACCCTTTGCAGAAAATTAAGGGATAAAGGAACATGTTAAGCATTACCACAAGGATGCAATCAGCAAAATTAAGAATGTCTATACAACAAGGCTGTTTCTTAAGGAATAAATTTTTACAAAGGAGAAAACCTAGTCTAAAAAAAACTGGCAATGTCAGTCAATTTAAAGAAACCAGTGTAAAAAAATATTTATGAGAACTGAGCAAATCTGAGCCTTGCCCAATATTAAAGAATTTGTTGTTTTTAATATTTGGTAAGACATTTTCTTTTTAAAAAAGTCCCACCTTTTAAGATAAACATACTGAAATATTTATAAGTGACATTATGTTTCAGGAATTTCATATGAAGTAATTTGGGAAAAACATAGTAATTTGGGATAGGAAGTGGGTAAAAGAAGAAAAAGATCAGCCATGTGTTGGTAACTGTTACAGATGGGTGATGTTTTGTGTATAAACAAAATCTTCCAAACTAAAAATATTTTTTTAACACCAGTAAATTACAAAACTCAAGTGGAGTTCTACGCTAGTAGCACACACCAAAACAAGTAAAATAATGAGGAAAAATTTAACATCCATATCCTGAAACATGAATTATTATCTTCAGAAACTAATTTTAAATTACAACCTGTTAAAAGGATAAGAAAATCATCAGTTTAACAAACACATTACAAATTCAGAAAAATTATAAACTACATCACTACATAAACCAAACTCTAAAGAATTCTAGGTATCAGTTTAATGAACTACTATTTTACTTACATTTTCCATATAGTTTGGCTTAAAGCCCTCTTGCTGTCGCCTAAGTTCTTCCTGTTCTCTGTGTCTTATCATTTCTTCTTCACGCCGACGGTGTTCTTCTTCATGTCTGAAAGATTTTCAAACAAAACATTTTAGCGTTGTGAAATGTATACAGTATAATCACATGTTTTACCTTCATTTATAACAAAATCACTCACATAAATTCAATTACATCAAAGAGTGAACAATGAATGGCCAGGGCTTACAAGGTATTTAAATAGTGAAGGCTATATAAAACTGATGCTCCCTCAACAGCCCAGGTCTCATTTTCCACGTCACTCTTACTTTTAAGCACCTTTCTACACCGAGTATAATCCTCAAATTGGAAGACTTTGTTGTCCTTGTAGTATAACACACACCCTAAACACAAGTCTACCAGGCACAGATAAAGTGATTTGTTCCAATGCCAACAGGAAAAATGACTGTCTAGACTTCACGTTGGACTGCCTGTTCCTAAGGAATTTGTAAGCAAAATCTTGAGATTTTCGTCTAACTCCCCAAAACACAATTTTCCATATTCATAAAGAAAAAATTCAAATTAGTTTGTAAATCCATTTCCTCGACAATAACACATTCATAATTTCACTACTAAGAAAATACTTTCACATCCACACACTACTGAAAATGTTAAGCAAAAACAGGTTAAAAAAAACCTCTCTCATTGATAAATTCTGGGGCCAGATGTATGAACTGTATTTCTTGGTTGTTGGGTTTTTAAAAAAAAAAAAAAAAAAACTTTAAAATACTTTAGTTTTTAGAGTGGTTTTAGGTTTACAGAATTTACACAAAAAGTACAAAGTTCTCATATGTCCTCTCCTTTCCACAGTTTCTATTATTAACGCAGTAGTGTGACACCAAACACAACAGTAGTCAAATGCCTTACCCAATACACCACCAGAGCTCTTTTCAGTGTAACACATTTGTTACAATTTACGAGCCAATATTGATCCATTATTTTTAACTCAAGTTCATAGTCTATATTTAGGTTCAGTTTTTGTGTTATTCAGTCCAATGGGTTTTGACAAATGCAAAATGTCATGTGTCTACCCCACTAGAGTATCATACAGAATTGTTTCAACTGCCCTAAAAATGTCCCGTGCTCTACTTCATCTCTTAAAAAGATCAGTGGCTGGCAGAAATTCAGAGGAAGGGAGGAGGGATAAAGGACTCATTTTAACCATTAACTTTTATCTCTCTTGCCTACATAAACCTCTAAGCAAAGTTTTTTTGGGGAAGCGGGGAGCTACGGCACCATTCTGCCTTAATTCCTCCCTGATCTCACTCACAAAGAAGTACCAGCACATGACAGAATGGCCAAATAGCAGACTTGACTGAGTGGGAGAAGAAACCAGGAGCCTGGAAAATACAGTTACTAAATGACAGAGCCAAAAGCAAGACACAGATCTCCTCACTAGCTGTCTATTGCTGTTGGGGCCAATTCAAAGTTCTTACAAGGTAGTTTAAAAAGTATTAATATACTATTCTTACTTTTATCTCCAGAGAGATCTGGAACAGCACCCCACAATCAATCACATTAGTATTTCTTCAGTAAAATGGCTAATCATACTATGTAGAAAAAAATAAAGGTTTACATGACCTTTACATGACCACATGAGTTCAGGTCAGGCTTTGCCATCAAATAGGCTCAGGTCGGTGCCAGTCACTAAATCAAAACAGGAAACACTTTAGGTTTTCAAATCTTTTTGGTTCTGAAAACTGCAGGTACAGTATTGTGGACATGTACCACCTTACTGGGCGGCCAACTAATAACACACTGCAATTTTAAACACGCAAATCCATTTCCAGCAAACTAAACAGAAATATCTGCACAAGTGTGTACACAAAGATAACTGTGGTATCATGTCCAACAGAAAAAAAAATTAAAGACAACCTGATTATTTGTAAATGGAAGGGACGAAGAGTGATAGTTTACTGAATCCAAGTAACACAAGACAACTGAAAAGAATTAGATTTGCATGGAAGAATATTCTATGATAGAACTGACAGAAAAAAAGTCAATAAAGAATAGTGTTTGTCACTGCTTTTAAAAATCATCTGTATGAGCACAAAAGATATGAGCAAGTTTTTGTCACACATGAGAATACTTTGGAAACAGGAGAATTACCCTTTTCATCAAAACCGTGAGTTCAGATTAACATACAAAATATTTTTAGTAACATTTGTGATCTATCTCTCCCATCGTTAAAGCCATTTTTTTCTTATTCGGAAACAAAAATAGATTTACAGATCAAGATAGAAAAAATCTAGTAAAAAAGGAAAGGAAAATCACTTTAAACATTTGCCGTTTTTTCTTCTACTCCTTTTTCTACAAATTCTATTTACTTTATTTTCAACTCAGCTGTGATTACAGCACACTGACAACTCCATAACCTAAACTTAAAAATACACGGAGTATAATTTATATTTGTCCTCAATGTATTTCAGTTTAGATTATGGAATTGTCTCAAACGTATTATGTAGAACATGCCCTGTTGTACATGTTTGCTTTCAATTCATATTACATTTAATTGAAAATGGGTAAAATTTCTACTGTGCAATTTGTTTTAATTTGAAGCCTAATTATTTTCAGGCCTCAAACACATTTTCAAGACTTTAAAAAACTGATAGGGCTCTAGACACTATGCCTATGATGACTAACAGATAAAAATGCCCTGCTGCTCCTGTTCAGCACTATGTCCCAACACCTATTATAGGGCCCATGTATCAGAAGGACTTCATAATAATCTGCTGAATGGCATAATAAGGTTAGTAAACAGGTACAAGTGCAAATTCAAAGAATAAATGTACTTACAAGGCAAAAATAAACAACTAAGTAGTAAACTAAAAATTTGAACTAGCTTCTTATTCTTCTAAAGGTGTAAGTGATCCATGAAAAATTAAAACTCTGTAGCATTGGAAACATGAAACTTGTGTACTCCAAATTTCTTTCAAAAATGTTGTTCTATCTTAAACTCAGGTCAAGAAAAGGCAGAGTCCAGATTATTTGGCTTAGTAGCAATTAAAGCTGTCTTAAGAGGTTGCAGCCACAGCAAGATAAATCTTTTCTGATTAATAGCTATAAACAACAAGGAAAAACGAATTCATTGCCATTGACTCAATTCCGACTCCTAACAACCCTACAGGACAAAGCAGACCTGCCCCATAGGGTTTCCAAGGCTGTAAATCTCTACCGAAGCAAACTGCCTCATCTGTCTCCCACCAAGTGCCTGGTGGGTTCTAACTACCAACCTTCTGGTAAACAGCTAAATGTGTTAACCACAATGCCACCAGAGCTCCTACATTATTAGTTAAGCTAAACTATGTTTGGTTTTAAACAAACTTCAGGGGATATTTTTGGTTTGTTTATCTGAGGGTAGTATTTTCATAGTTTCATCCAATCTCCATGGCTCCAGAAAATCTAGGTTCCCTGAGTATTTGAAATTCTGTTTTGCACCTCCCTCCCCGTTTGATCAGAATCCTTCTAGAATTCTGATCAGGATGTTCAGCAATGGTAACTGAGCACGATCTAGAGCTTCTGGTCACAAAGCTGTTCATGGAGGCAATTAGCCACACATTCCATTTTCTTCCCCTCTTCCTGACTCTCCTTTCTGTTCTCCAGGCCAACAGGTACTAATTGCTGTGTCTGGGATGCCCACTTTCAAGCTTGAAGATCTCAGGCAATACACAACAAATTAGGATGTAGAATTTGTTGTTGTTGTTGTTATGTGCCGTCGAGTCAAACAGAAGCACTAAAATACATTAAACTGGCCAATTAATTGGGATGTCCCATGAAACCATGACCTTAAACTTCCAAACCAAGAAATCAAATCCCATGAGGTGTTTGGTTGTACGTAGCAGCCTCTGCAGCTATTTATTGTTGTCACTGTTGTAAATATATGTATCACATAACTTTTGCCAATTCAACTTTTCATAGGTGTACAATTTATCGATAGCATCCCTACCCTTAATCAACATGTTTTTTCTATCACCATAAACCAAAACTAGGTACTCCATTAATAACAGAATGCCCCCCCCAATGTTTAGCAGGGTTCAACTGTGCCCCACAGGGCTTTCAATGGCTGATTTTTCAGAAGTAATTGCCCAGCCTTTCTTCTGGGATACCTCTGTGGAGACTTGAATCTCTAACCTTTCAGGCAGAGATTCAATATTTGTACCACCCATGGAGTCCCAAGATAAGCTACCACAAAGGACCACAATGACTAGACAAAATCACTATTATGTGCATAAAAAAGCCATCACAACCCTCTCTCCCTCCAATTTCATTTACCAACTGAGGAAATCCCCATGAATATCCTTCAGTTTGGGTTGGTAGGATATTTTCTCAGGCCTGGAATGTGTTTACCTAATCATGTTTTCTATTTACTTTATTGCCTCCACATTTAATTAGAATCATTCTGGAAGGAAAATGGTTCCATTTATTTATTTATTTATGTGTTTGTTTGTTTGTTTGTTTGATTATTTTTAATCAGTATGAACTCGTGGGTATTTATTTTAGGGTCTAAAATCTAATACCATCATTATTTACTTTATCATTGAAATTATTTCAGCTTTGGCCATTAGGAGCTCCTTCAGATTGGCTCTTATGGTCTTTTGACATGCTCCATCCTTTTTGAGCAGTTCTCAAAGTACTTTTTGAGTACTTTTTGGCGAAAGATATTCCAGGTTCATCTTGAATTTTCCATCCCCAGTCATGGAATCAACCACTTCTTCAATAAGCCCTGATTCCTTTTATTGAAGAATGATGCTTAGAAACCAAGATCCCAGTGCTAGATGGAGTGCCACTGTGCTTCCAGTTCCTCTCAGTGGAAAGGGCTATGAAATAGATATAAGCATACTAATTCACACATTTATACATCTATATTTCAACATCTATCTATGCTTTCTAAATATCATGGAGTCTTCTGATTCCAACCCAACACTATTCAACTAACAGACCACATGAACTACTGCCTCCACTAAGTTAAGACCAGAAGAACTAGATGGTGGCCAGCTACCACCACTGACTGCTCTGACCAGGATCACAATAGAAAGCACCTGATAAGAGTGGGAGAAAAAAACTGAACAAAATTCAATTTCATAATAAAGACCAGATTTACTGGTTTGACAGACACTGATGGAACCCCCAAGACTGTGGTTCTTGAATAAACTTCAACTTAGAACTGTAGCCACTCTGAGATCACCTTTTAGCCACATAAGAGAGAGGCCTATAAAGTAAACAGTAATATCCACGAGAAACATGCACCTTAGAATAATCAACTATACAAGACCAGAAGGGTAGCATTTGCCCAAAAACAAAGTTAAGGAAGGAAGGGGCAGGAAAACTGGGTGAACAGAAACAGGGAACCCAAGATGGAAATGGGATGAATGCTGACACACTGAGAGGATTGCAACCAATGTCATGGAACAATCTGTGTATAAATTGCTGAATGAGAAACGAATTTGCTTTGTAAACTTTCACCTAAACCATTACACACACACATACACACAAACAGATTAAACTCTCATGTGATAAGACTAATATCAGATGAATTAAATGTGCCTATATAATAAAACTAGAAAAAACTCTAAGGTAAAGGAATGTGAAATGATATACCATATGAATACTAGTTAAAAGAAAGCTAGTGAAAAACAATACTTTGTATCTAAAAGGATTATGAGAGAAATGTTATAATAAAAAGAACATTTAGCACTGGGGGGGGCAGCCTTTTCCCTCCCATTCCTTCTTTCTTCAACAAGAAGAAACTCAGCTCTCATTATCTGTATTTGCGTGTTCTGTTCAAAAAAAAAAAAAAAGAATATATACTAAGAAGTCTGCAACTACTAACCTTTATTCCTGTGAGAAACACATATACTACCTAGATTACAAATTTTTGTTCCAACTCTTCTAGTCTTTAGCCTTTTAAGTCAAGATACCACTTCCAAAGACATTCAGATTGTTACTTTCTTCCCCATCGCCTTTCCCAGTGGTTTGTTATTCATGTGTAAAACAGGTTCATTTGTTCTCAGCTTTGCAACCCAATGATTCCTCCTACATTCTGGATGGTTTTGTTTTTATTTTATGGGTATATAAAGGGACGTTTACTGTTTGCAAAAACCTACAGGTCAAGTCTAAATGTAAGATGAGAGGAGGTTTCTTTCTTTGTTTTGTAAAAAAGGAAGAAAGTTAAACATGTTTCTTTTAAAAGGGGGAAGGGTTGAGAAAAGGCAACCAAGGTAGGTAGTTCACACTGGGAATTTTGTACAGCGTTGTTCTACAAACGTTAGTGTCCACGAGAACCATCTGGACAGCTTATTAAAACAGAGAGACGGCTGCTTCCCATCCCAGAGTCTGTGATTCAGTAGATCTGTATTGGGGCCCAAGATCTGCATTTCTGACAACTACCCAGATGAGAATGCTGCTGCTGGTGGTCCAAGGACTACCATTTGAGAATCAAATGGCTTAGTGCCTAAGGCATATGACTGAAAACCAGAAGGCTGGATGTTCAAACCCACCAGCCACTCCTCCAAGAAAGATTGGGCAATCTACTTCCTTAGAGATACCACTTGAGAAACCCGAGGAGGGGTCACTATGAGTCAGAATCAACTTGACAGCAGTGAATCTGGTTGGGTTAGAGTATAAAACAGGGTAGTTCCAAAATGGGAGAGGGGGGAAGACATAATGAGTGTATATATAAAATCAAAGTCAAAAAGACAAAGTTGGGGAAAAAATTAATTTCAATTTACTGAAACCACTTATCTCCAGACTGTGAAGACACTTCATACTCATTTGTGGCTTTTTTATTTTCTTCTTTACACTTTTACTTTTCCATAAACTATTACCATGAGCTGCTATTACCATGAGCACTTACTACTCTTACGGCATTTTTTAAATTTCACAACTAAATACTGCAGGGGATTAGCTGTTAATTTTTGTTTACGTATCTTAGATCAAACATCCTTATTGAACTTTAAAAGATTTTCAGTTAACTTTACAGTTGTCTATTATGTACTAAGATTTTATATAGCCATGCTCCTTGTACCATGGATTCTATTTCCAGAAATCTTTTTTTAAAACAGATCATTAGAAGCACAAAGATGCATAAATATATTCATAATGATGTTACACTTAGGAAAAAATAAAAACTAAGTGCAATTCAAATAAATCTATCACTGGAAAAAAGATTCAGTAAATTACAGGATATTCTTATAATAAATTACAAGCTTAAGGCCATAAATTCACTGTTAAACAATCAAAGTGCCTTAGTCAACTAAAAGATAGTAGGAATAACAAGGAATTGTGGTAGATTGCTTAGTAATTCCCTAGATATGTTCAAAAATGGGCAACAATCTAATTCTCGTCTGTATTTCTCATCTTGTACAACTTGTTTAGGAGCTCTGGTGGCATAGTGCCTAAGGCATTTGACCGCTAACCAGAAAACTGGCGGTTCAAACCCACCAGGCACTCCTCAGAAGGCAGGTGTACAACTTGTTTATAAAGGGTAGTAGAGAGTTTTATTAATAACACACACAATGAAAAACACGTATATTCACTTTTATGTCACAAAGATATTCTTTTACCTTAGTTGTATTTGTTTGCGTTTTTGCAGTTCTTGGTTTCTCAGTTCTTCCAAGCGTCTGAGTTCTTCTTGACGCCTCATTAGATCTATAAGACATTGATTACATATTAATATTTTCAGCTTCCTTTTCTGTATTTTTCTATCAATAAGCATATTTTCTATTGCTAACATACTGAGTAACTTATTCATATACCTGGCTCCTCTTTATCAATCATTTTATTATTAAAGATTAGAAGCTGTGTGATTAATCAAATTAATATTCTTTCTGGGGCTGCTCCTTCATGTGTATAAAAATAATAAAATCCAACTTATGTTCAGAAATTAAAATGAGTAATAATTATCTTCAAAAAGAACTTGCCAAATTCTAAAAATAGAATAAACGAAACCTGTATTGGCTCTTTTCCATTTCCTTTTTCTTTTTTTAACAAATTACAATTTTTTTTCCATAGCAAGTACAAAATCAAAAAGATGCTTGGGAAGAGACACTAGTAGAGGGGTACATAAGAATCAGAGTAGATAACCAGTAGGCATGATGAGACTCTGCATAAAACTCAAAAGATCATCCCTGCCCCACACCGTGAGAATGAGATTCCCCTGCACTAAGTCTATGTTCTATGAAGGAGGACAATTAGAAGAGAATTCTTGATGGGAGAACAGGCTCAATAGTGATGTGATACAGACCATTTTAAACAAGAAAAGCAATCTTGATACCACCAATCCTTGCCATATCATCAAGAACAGGTGCTCCAGAGTAGAGTAAGAAAATGAAAAATATATTTGGTTCTATTTTTGCATGTACAGTACTGCACTGTCAGTGTTGGTAAGCACTGATCTACTGACGGATAGATGGGTGGACAGGCTGAATGATCAGGTATGTTTAGGCAGGAGGAAGTGTACACATGACCATGTATGGGGCTGACAGATGCTGCTTCTACATGTGTATTTGAATGTGCTTTAATAATGTCTGGGTCTATAGTAGAGCTGACAAGGCACAAGGCTGTGGTGGCTTCTTGACCACAGCCAGCTACCAGGAAGCAGCCAGACCTGTGGACTAGAGATTATGGTCGCAGGGGACACCAAGCTCAATCAGTATACTATACTACACAAAAACACTGCTCCATATCCTACTTGGTGAGTAGCAACTGGGGTCTTAAAAGTTTGCAAGCAGCTATCTAGATACAACAATGGGTCTCTTCTCATCCAGAGCAAAGAAGAATGAAGAAAACCAAAGATGCATGGAAACAATTAGTCCAAGGGACTAATGGGCCAAGTGCTCCTCAGCCTACATGACCATAAGACCAGAAGAACTAGATAGTGCCCAGCTACCCACTGTCAATTTTATTCAGGATCAGTGAAGGAGATCCTGGACAGAGTGGGAGAACAATGTGGAACAAAACTCAAA